GCGTCGCGAATTCTCGCAACGGAAACCACGTGACAAGCAATCGAAGTGTGAGGGGTCGCGACCGTACATGGGACTAACACTCCGTTCCGATCACGGGTGTGAACGATTCGGTCATGGAAGTTCACCGGATGGTCGGCGCTACGCAACCAAAACATGCCTAGAATCATGTCGAACTTGGTGTCGAGGATGTCAAAAGACACCGGCTCGCACGCAAGTGCGCAATGTAGACCGGGACGCCGTCAACGCATCGGTCAATTGACTTCTGCATGCAGTCGTCCGCGAGTGTAACTTGCGTCGGTTGCGTCTTTCTTCGAACGCGCGGGCCAAGACCTGCGCGGGCCATAAAGGCTTGACTCATGAAGTTGCGAGACGTTCCGCAATCAACCAAGGCACTACAGGTTGCCTTTCCGATTTGAGTGCGGATATAGAGCAAAGGTGCGTCGGTTTCGGCGTACCTTTGGGTGGCACTACAGGTTGCCTTTTCGATTTGAATGCGGATATAGAGCAAAGGTGCGTCGGTTTCGGCGTACCTTTGGGTGGCGTGCTCGCGGTCGATCTTCGCAAGATAGGAGCGGAGATCGGCAACCGCTACCCCGTCGTCCGTCAACGGAGCTGGTACTGTAGTGTGCAAGTAGGAGCGTAGATTTGCTATCAAGGCGTTGCAATGCGGCCTTGGCAAGGTTCCGGTCGAGGGTAGAGGCATCCAGGCGAAGTCCTCTCTCGTGAGCGGGTCAAGCTCCTCAARTCTTGACCACGCCGTCGAGTCCTCGGAAATCAGTGGCGAACTGACCGGATTACTTTCCGACGGTGTACAGGCTGCGCATACGCAATCTACATGCACGTGGCTAGGCTGGTCTAATGGTGGTACCAGCTGGGCGGCATAATCCTCGTACGTAGCACGAGAATCAGCGACTAACGCATGCTCCCCGGTAGTGACATCGATTGCTAGCAAGGCAACCGGGTCCGGCGGAGTGAGGAGAGACGTCGCCCCTCTCCTTGCGTAACTCAGTTTCCCGAGTTGGCTGGACGGGGTACGCGTGCTTTGCCCTTGTCGGGGCATTGTGCGGTAGTGTGTACTACACTGTTGCACCATAGGCAGTATGCGTACTTCTGACGTAGGTCATAGACCTCCTTGGTGATCTTATAAGTCGTCCATGGCTGCTGCTGAGCTCCCGTCGCTGCTGTCCCTTGTGTCGCCTTGTTCTTGCGAACTCTCTTTGGATGCTTCGGCGCGAGCGCTGCGACAATTCCTCCATCACTCGAGGATGCTGCCGCCGCGTGGTGGTCGTCGATTTCTTCAGAAAATACGGCATTGTTATGTGCCGAACGTTGATAGGTCTGCTTAGCCACATAGTGCGGCTGGGATTGCCTCTCGTTAGCGGCCTTGTCGTCCGTTTGGATGACCAACTTCGCTCGATCCAGAATGGCCTGGAATGTGGTATAGTCGTACTCATTACCGAGTGTCGACCGCAATCCCGCGCACGATCGCGAGAAGAACTCGGATTGTTGATTTGGAAATGTCAAATCGAAACCTGCTGTGGTCACTATCTTTTGCCACTTCGTTGTCCAGTCTCGAGTTGGCATGTTCCCTTGAGAGCATGTGTACACCTCATTCATGGCCGCCTTCACGACGTTGCGGACCATGAACCGGGTGAACCATAGCTGCTCGAACTCCTTCCACGTAATGTGCGTGTGGAGTTCGGCGATAGTGCACTTGTGTGTAGCCGCTAGGTGGTTCATCCATCCCTGCACTCCTCCAATCAGCTGCAGATATATTGCCTTCAACATGTCGTCCGCCGGGACCATGCGGCATGATGCTTCCGTGASGAAGCGTTGCCACCATGACAAGGCGTCCGACTTGTTGTAGTCGTCGAACTTGCTGATGTCGAAGTGCGGCATCTTGAACGTCTTTGTAGCGGCTTCCGGTCTCGTCTGTAGCTTGGTGAGGTCCGTCTTGATGGCGGACACCGTGCTGCTGATCGAGTCTGGTCCAGTGAACGTACTTATGTCGCCGATGATGGTGACGACGTGATCGATGCGCTCGTTGAGTTGCTTCGTCACGTCTGCCGTGCATCCTGGCGCTGCTGAGGCGTTAGCCTCTATGCTGTTGACGCGTGTGACAGTGGAATTCAACAGTTGATGCTGTTGCTGCTGCTGCATTGCCTCCGTGCGGATAGCAGTGGTTAATGTAGTCATATCATTCTTGTATGTTTGTCGCTGCGTCACGTCCGCGCGCAGATGTGACTGCAGCAGTGTATTATTCCACATAATACCTCTCATCATGCCCAACAGCAAGTTAGCCAGGTTAGTTCTCTCTGCCTCCGCCGGTGTCGGGTCTGCCTGCGCTTCTGTAGGCACAAAGATCATGTCTTGGAGTACCGTCGTCCACTGATGCTTACAAGCAATCAAGGACTCCGTGCTGCTGGCATTCCATCTGTCTCGTGTCGCTGCGTCAGTCTCAGTCATTCGCTGAGCTTCGGCTGCCGCTTCATTGGCTAGCCGCTGACGTTCTGCCTCTGCTATCTCCTTCCGGGCCTCGACGACAGCTACGGCTTCTGAAAATGCCAGTAGCCGCCCACGATAATCAGCCGCGGGCTCATTGGCTCCTCGGACTGGGTATGTGGGATGATCTCCGGTGGC